TGGGTTCCCTGTACGGCCTCCCAATTGCTGGCTGTCCTCCAACGCCACACCACTGCCATGTGCCACTTTTCAGTCTCCTCACAACACACAGCTGGTGGTGTAGAAATGTTGTGACATAGGAGTGCTGGGCAGATTATAGCCTCCCCATTGCTGCTGCCCTAGGCCCCTAATCTGCCAAAGGCCCCTATATTCACCGACTTCCTTCATGCTGCTGCCTCTAGGTCCATGGGTTCCCTGTACGGCCTCCCATTCTCTGCTGTCTCCATCGCCACACTCTGCCAATGATGCCACTTTCAGTCTCCTCACACACTGCTGGTGTGTTAAATTTTTTGACATAGGGTGCTGGCAGATTACTGAGGGCCTCCCATAGCTGACTTTCAGGTCTCCTCACACACTGCTGGTGTGTTGAATTTTTTTGACATAGGGTGCTGGCAGATTACGGGCCTCCCATAGCTGCTGCCAGGCCCCTAATCTGCCATAGGCCCCTATATACCGCCTCCTCATGCTGCTGCCAAGTCCAGAGTCTGTCATGGGTCCCTGTACGGCCTCCCATTGCTGCTGTCTCCATCGCCACACTCTGCCATGTGCCACTTTCAGGTCTCCTCACACACTGCTGGTGTGTTGAATTTTTTGACATAGGGTGCTGGCAGATTACGGGCCTCCCATAGCTGCTGCCAGGCCCCTAATCTGCCATGGGCCCCTATATACCGCCTCCTCATGCTGCTGCCAAGTCCAGAGTCTGTCATGGGTCCCTGTACGGCCTCCCATTGCTGCTGTCTCCATCGCCACACTCTGCCATGTGCCACTTTCAGGTCTCCTCACACACTGCTGGTGTGTTGAATTTTTTGACATAGGGTGCTGGCAGATTACGGGCTCCCATAGCTGCTGCCAGGCCCCTAATCTGCCATGGGCCCCTATACCGCCTCGCTCATGCTGCTGCCAGGTCCAGAGTCTCTCTGCCAGGTCCACAGTCTCTCATGCCATGTGCCACTTTCAGGTCTCCTCACACTGCTGGTGTGTTGAATTTTTTGACATAGGGTGCTGGCAGATTACGGGCCTCCCATAGCTGCTGCCAGGCCCCTAATCTGCCATGGGCCCCTATATACCGCCTCCTCATGCTGCTGCCAGGTCCAGAGTCTCTCATGGGTCCCTGTACGGCCTCCATTGCTGCTGTCTCCATCGCCACACTCTGCCATGTGCCACTTTCAGGTCTCCTCACACTGCTGGTGTGTTGAATTTTTTGACATAGGGGTGCTGGCAGATTACGGGCCTCCATAGCTGCTGCCAGGCCCCTAATCTGCCATGGGCCCCTATACCGCCTCCTCATGCTGCTGCCAAGTCCAGAGTCTCTCATGGGTCCCTGTACGGCCTCCCATTGCTGCTGTCTCCATCGCCACACTCTGCCATGTGCCACTTTCAGGTCTCCTCACACACTGCTGGTGTGTTGAATTTTTTGACATAGGGTGCTGGCAGATTACGGGCCTCCCATTGCTGCTGCCAGGCCCGTAATCTGCCATGGGCCCCATACCGACTCCTCATGCTGTGACGTTGCAACAAGGTGGAATTCAACCCTACATATGTTAGACCGCCTTTACAAACAGCAAAAGGCCATCACAGATTTCCTGATGTTAAAAGCGGATAAAGGTACTCCCTGTGTAACTTAGATGTCAACCATTGGCAGCTCATGCGTGACACCTGCGCTTGCTCAGGCCCTTTGAGGAGGCCACGCTATTCGTTGAGTCGGCAGGACTATGGGATGAACGACGTCATTCCTCTGTTGCACGTCCTGGAACAAATGCTGTTAACAATGGCTGGTCAGGGTGCGGTAGACGTGGCGCACAGATCTCAACGCCACATGACCCCATGTGTGGGGGCAGGACAGGAGAAGAGGAGGAGGTAGAGGAGGACATTGTGCTCAGGAATTATTGAGTGAAATGGGTGGTTTTTCCACTCAGCGGACAGGAGTGGAGGAGCAGGAGCATCTGGTAGAGGAGGAGGAAGAGGAGACAGAGGACCCAGACGCACCGTGGCAGTATGCTGTGGAGATGGAGGCAGGGAGTCCCTCGCATTCCTTGGCACAAATGGCCCATAGCATGCTCGTTTGCTTGCGTAGCGACAGCCGAAATAATAACCATCAGACAGAGGGATGACTTTTGGCTGTCCACCTTGTTGGACCCTCGCTACCGTTCAAAATGGTGGCCTTTTTCACACCTGCTGAGAGGGAGGGCCAAAATAACGTACTATAAAAAAACCACCTATGTAGTCAGCTGGTCTCTGCCTGTGCTGCGCCAACGTCCATCCTCAGACACTGTGGGCCCTGTGCGCTCGCGTTCCGCTGCCATTGGCAGCAGGGGAGGGGTGGGGTGGTAGGAGCAGTGGCAGCTCCACCAGCAGCGGCTGCCTCAGTCTGCAGTCGATGATGAGTAGCTTTCTTCACCAGCGCAGTGAGGAAACTAATAACCAGCCGCGCAGCAGCAGCAGCATCAGGTGGACCTGGAGCAGGACCTCAAACAACAGGCTTAGGCCTACTTGGACAGCACCCTGCCAACCGAGGTAGACAATCCCCTTGACTACTGGGCAACGAAACTTGACCTTTGGCCCCAACTAGATGAATTTGCCCTTGAAAGGCTGTCATGCCCGGCCAGTAGCGTGGCATCGGAGCGCGTGTTTAGTGCGGCAGGAGGTATTGCAACTCCGCGGAGGACACGACTGTCCACCCAAAGTGTGGAGAGACTCACGTTTGTGAAAATGAATCAGGCGTGGATTAGTCTGGATTTCAAACCACCAGTTCCTGACACAACTGACTAAATCCACCATGAATCATGCCCCAAAACATGTGCCACTTTCAGGTCTCCTCACACTGCTGGTGTGTTCCATTTTTTGTCATAGGGTGCTGGCAGATTACGGGCCTCCCATAGCTGCTGCCAGGCCCCTAATCTGCCATGGGCCCCTATACCGCCTCCTCATGCTGCTGCCAAGTCCAGAGTCTGTCATGGGTCCCTGTACGGCCTCCCATTGCTGCTGTCTCCATCGCCACACTCTGCCATGTGCCACTTTCAGGTCTCCTCACACTGCTGGTGTGTTGAATTTTTTGACATAGGGTGCTGGCAGATTACGGGCCTCCCATAGCTGCTGCCAGGCCCCTAATCTGCCATAGGCCCCTATATATACCGCCTCCTCATGCTGCTGCCAGGTCCAGAGTCTCTCATGGGTCCCTGTACGGCCTCCCATTGCTGCTGTCTCCATCGCCCACACTCTGCCATGTGCCACTTTCAGGTCTCCTCACACACTGCTGGTGTGTTGAATTTTTTGACATAGGGTGCTGGCAGATTACGGGCCTCCCATAGCTGCTGCCAGGCCCCTAATCTGCCATGGGCCCCTATATACCGCCTCCTCATGCTGCTGCCAAGTCCAGAGTCTGTCATGGGTCCCTGTACGGCCTCCCATTGCTGCTGTCTCCATCGCCACACTCTGCCATGTGCCACTTTCAGGTCTCCTCACACTGCTGGTGTGTTGAATTTTTTGACATAGGGTGCTGGCAGATTACGGGCCTCCCATAGCTGCTGCCAGGCCCCTAATCTGCCATGGGCCCCTATACCGCTCTCCTCATGCTGCTGCCAGGTCCAGAGTCTCTCATGGGTCCCTGTACGGCCTCCCATTGCTGCTGTCTCCATCGCCACACTCTGCCATGTGCCACTTTCAGGTCTCCTCACACTGCTGGTGGGTTCCATTTTGTCATAGGGTGCTGACAGATTACGGGCCTCCCATTGCTGCTGCCAGGCCTGTAATCTGCCATGGGCCTCCGTACCGCCTGGTCACGCTGCTGCTGGGTCCACAGTGTGACATGGGTCCCTGTACCGCCTCCCATTGCTCCCACTCTGCCATGTGCCACTTTTGAGGTCTCCTCACACTCCTGCTGGTTTCCATTTTGTCATAGGTTGCTGTATGGCCTCCCATTGCTGCTGCCTCCACCGCCACACTGTGGCTCCAAACACTGGTTTTGGCCCCGTGACTGGCCAAATGAGTGAAGTGTGCGGTGATTCTAAGATCGACGGCACTCATCTGCATGTCATACTGACTGACAGTATTATTTCTCTTCCCCAGCAGACTCCAAGGGCATTTAAATTAAAGGTACAATGTTCTGCACTAATATTAAGTCTCTCTGAAGCCTAGAAACACCCTTTTTTAAGTTAAATTCACAGCGAATATATTCGACTCGAATCGAATATTGTCCACGAATTCGCCGAATCAGTCGAATCGAATTTTTTGAATACTTCGCTCATCTCTATTTATAATGATTAATGCAGGGATTGGATATCTTTATGCTTAAGCAATAAAGGCAAGGTTTGCAGTGGGTATAAAAGTCTCATGAATGATACCATTTTAAAGAGATGACACCTACCGAAAATTGATAGGGGAAGAGTAGATCATTTATCAAATTCCCGATTAATCTTTTAAAAAATGGGGAGAAAGTTGAGCCGATAGAGAGATGATGGATCCTTCCCTATCCAGATACCCAAATAGGGGATATGATGGGAGGCTATCTGAAGCAGGGAGGACGTGGTCTATGACCTGGAATGATATGGGTTAAGTGGGAGAATTTCAGTGAAGTTTATGCATAGGCTAGAACAAAGCTGGAAGGTGGTGGATAGATCCTGAGTAGCAGGAAGATCAGTGGACACCGCAGAGGAAAAGAGGAGAATGTCATCTGCAAATAAAGCAGCTTTCATGGCTGCACTGCCAATTGTAATTCTGGAAAGAAGGAGGTGAGAATTGAGTAGTCTGGAAAGAGGTTCAATAGCAAGGTTGAATAGGAGAGGGGAGAAGAGGCAGCCCTGGCGATTTCTCTTTTTTAGATGAACAGGTTCTGATACTGTACTCTGAGTGATTAGCCTAGCCGTAGGAGAGGAATACATGGAAAGAAAGAAATGCGTGATTGGGCCTTGAAAACCGAATTTCCTCAAGACTAAGAGCCAGTGGAGATTAATATTATCGAAAGCTTTTTCCACCAAGAGACAAAATGGCCATATCTTTATCGGTGTGAAGCTTGGCCTGTTCCAGCGCCATAATGACTTTGCGGATATGTAGAACTGCTGATCTACCTTTGACAAACCCTGCCTGAACAGGGTGCAGGAGGCCAGGGAGTATATTTGCCAGACGAGATGCAACTATTTTAGACATATCTTAGCATCCACATTAATGAGCGAGATAAGGTGGTAGGAGCCAGGGAGAGTGGGGTCTTTGCCCTTTTTGCCCAGTAACATTATAAACGCTGTGGAGTCCGTAGGGAGGTAAGGGCCACCCTGCTATATATTGTTATATACTTGCAACAGGATATGGTGAATATATTCACGGGATAAAAGAGAATAAATTGGTGTAGCGCTCTACCTAATTATATCAAAAGAATAAACATAAATATATATCAAACCATAAGTTTTAAATTAAATGATGAATCAAAAAGTGATCTGATCCTACAGGGATCTAATTAAGACACATTTACACGTGACACAAATTATGTGAAAGAAACGTGAATAAAAACAAACAAACTGGTCCCAATTAGACCCAATATAATGTGAAATTATCCAACAAAAAAAACCCCAAATCCCTAATTGGGATCAATGAAACATAGATCTTAGTGCAATATACGGTGAATACCTCAATGGGGATATAACTCCTGAATAAAGTGATTCGTGCTTAGACCCCAATAAACAACATTTAAATATAAAACGTAATACATCTCAACAATCCATTTAGAAAAATACTGTATAATGAAATATACATATAAAAATATATATAAAAATTGTAAATATGAAAAAAGTCCAAAATTGGTGCAAATCTGCAAGAGGTGATCCAATAATTCAAAAACATGCAGGTGATGCTGTGCATGTGCATACAAGCCAATGTGAATCCTTAAATGGCTAGATTGCCCCCTCACCTCCTTACCGCGACCCACTGGGCCAACTCGCCTTTCGGATCACACCAGGATCCTTCACGGGCAGTAACTCCTCAATAGATGATATCCATAGAAGATCCCCATCAATGGTCACTCTTAAACATCACAGGTTCCCCTCCAGAAATAGGTACCGCAGTACAGACAACTCGCTCACATGGATCACATTAATGACAAAAAAGAAGAAGAAAGATCCATAGTGTAACACTATTTATTGTATGTATATAGCAAACAAAACGCCAAATTCCCACTCACTTGGTAGCAGATATACATAGGCATTCAAAACCACATGCTATGGGTGTAATCTGCATGGGTTTCAGGTGTACCAAGATGGCATCCACCGGAACTACGTCACCACGCACCTATGCAATAAGAAGCAATTCCCTTATCACCCTAAATGAATATGGCAAAAAAATAAAAATAAAATAAATAAAACTAAAAATGAGGCTCAAAATACAATGCTCTATACATGACGTGTATATTTAAAAAAAAAGGAAAGAGGAGAACAACATCAACAGAATGCTCTTTAGGCACAGTAGCAGCCAGAGGATAACAAACCCTCCAAAGTAAAGGCCAACCAGTTTTGGGCTCATCAGGTAGTTCCTTTGTGTTTGGAGCCGACAGCATAGCGTCCGCGTTTAGGTGGATGCTTCGCTGGGCTGCTTAGGTGTGTGGCCGAGATACTACCCACAGATGGGGCGTCAATGGTGGTCTCGTCCATTGCATGAGTAGAAGACAGGTCACCGGCTAGCAGAGATTCCACGTATTGTTTTGCCGCCTCAGGAGAAGTAACCGATAGCTGATCACCGTCAGGGGAGCGTAAGCGTAGCACTGCTGGATAGGCCAAAGAAAACTGTAGATCATGCTGGTGAAGTAGGGAGCAGTTAGGGAGGCGTAATTTCGACACTTCCATAGAATAGTCAGCAAAAAGCAGGAATTTGTGGTTGTCCAAGGTAAATGTCCCACCTTTGTGGTAGTATTGCAAAATAAGGTGTTTATATCGGCATAATTGAGGTACCTGACAATTATCGATCTAGGCTTCAGCTGGTGGTCTGGGTCAGGGTCTTTTGGTGGTCCCACCCAATGAGCCCTTTCCATAACACAGGGATAGCGTAGTCCTAAGGCCTCAGGAATGTAGTGGCTGCAGAGTTCCATCAGAGAGGATGGTTTATAGCTTTCTGGTAAGCCAATGATACGCAGGTTGTTCTTGCGGGATCTGTTCCCCAAATCCTCTAATTTGTCAAGGATGGATTGCGGTATGTTACTCGGTGTAGTAAGGGTATTATTTACCTGATGCAGTTGCTTCTCTACTGATAAAATGGGCCATTCTGCTTCCTCCAGCCTATGAATCTGGCTATGAAATTCCTGTCACAGCTGTTCCATACCTTGTTGCACCGCCTTGTCGACTGCTTCAATGGGGTGAGTATGCTGGCTACAGCCTGAGCAATCTTTGTATGTGATAAAGATCTGTCTTCTGCCTGCTGCAGAGATGGTGGAATAGGGATATCCACATGTTGGGTTTGTTGTATGGCGGAGGCTATCTTGGGAATTGCCTCTGTCCTGGAGTCAAGATCCTGCCATGGTCCCTGGGACGATCGAGGAGCGGAGCGCTCCAAAAAGTGGTCCATCCGGTCCCCTAGGGTTCTCATACCGCCCGGGTGACCGGTGATCTGGCGCTTTATCAGAGTGCAGAAGGTGCGCGGGGCCAGGAGCAGCGACAGTCCACTACATCCTTGCATGGCGCCAGAACCAGATGTCTTATTTTTGTTTTTAATAAAGGAACTTGTTAAAGACTGTCTCCTGTCATTGTTTACTACACTTTTTTTTTTTTAATAGGTAGCAGTACCATGTACCGCATCAACACATGGGGACAAGGTGCTTTGGGGGGAGCCCCCCCGCCCCAAAGCACCCCCCCATGTTGAGGGCATGTGGACTGGTATGGTTCATTTTGGGGGGGAACCCCACACTATTTATTTTTTTATTTGGTATGGGGGTTCCCCTCATAATCCATACCAGACCCCAAGGGCTTGGCATGGATGGGAGGGGGGACCCTACGCCATTTTTTTTTTTGGACAATGCTGACAATTCTCTTGATATTCAGCTGTCAGCAAGGAATGCCACTGACAGCTGAAACATTAAAGAATGTTTCACAACTAAAATACAGCTTGATCTAATAACATAACTTCTGCAATATTTTAGTAGCTGAGCGTTATCTTAGATGCAGTAAGATACTGCTCAGTAAATTGTCCCTGTTCCAAGTTCACAGTCAAGCTTTCGATATGATCAAATGTCCAGCCGCACACCGAAGAGTGGGGTATTGGGCCCATAACTAGTGTGTTTTAGGGGGTTTTTTAATCACATTATCCTCAAATTATGGTCATGTTTTGGTGTTCTTCAAAGGTAAAGGCACATTGCACAAATAGTGTAAAAAGAGATATCTTTGCTTATTTATAGATGAAGAAAATAGGCTTACAAATGAAACCACACAAGTATACAGTCAGACAGAACTTACTAAAGGAAAATACCCTTTTTTAAATATTTACCAGAAAAATATTTACAGTGCTCAGCATAAATGAGTACACCCCTTTTGACAAGTACGATTTTAATCAATATCTCAATGAACACAAGAACAATTTCCAAAATCTTGTCAAAATTGAGTTTTATATAACATTTACTTAGCTCATTACATGAAAGGAAGGTTCATAATATAAGTTAGATTACAAAATCTTCAGTTTTACTCAAATTAGCTGACGCAAAAATAAATACAACCCACAACAAAAACTGCTACATCTAGTATTTTGTATGACCTCCATGATTTGTAAGGACAGCACCACGTCTTCTAGGCATGGAATGAAGAAGTTGGTGACATATTGCAACATCTATCTTTTTCCATTATTCAAGAACCAACTCTTTTAGAGACCAGGATGCTGAATGGAGAGTGATGCTCAACTTGTCTCTTCAAAATTCCCCATAGGTGTTCAATTGGGTTCAGATCAGGAGACATACTTGGCCACTGAATTACTTTCACCCTGTTCTTCTTCAGAAATATAACTGTGGCCTTAGATGTGTGTTTTGGATCATTGTCCTGTTGGAAAAGTACACGACGACCAAGGGCATTGAGTAAAAGTAGCATCTTCTCTCTCAAAATTGATCAGTACATCTGTGAATTTATGATACCATCAATGAAATGCAGCTCCCCAACACC